TAACCCAGTCTGCTTGTGGTATCCCAATGTTTGGTTCGCTAATGAACTCGTCCAGGGATACCACGGGTCGAAGAGGGGGTGGTTTTAGTTGGTAGGCGACCTGGCAGGGATGTCCGAAGGGGGCCCTCTGTCACATAGTTTGACATCGTGCCTTTGGCGTATGTCTCTGGTCCTTTGGTTGAATCCAACAATACTAGGGACACCTTCCCTAGCCGATTTTACGAATCTTTCCACCTCAGTCCAACAAAAAAAAAATTTAAGAGTTTAACCACTATATTAATAACATCTACATAAATGAGTTTTAATAATTCAATGGGCACATCATTTGGTCCGGTAGCTTTGCCCTCTTTTGTATTTTTGATGTCATAGATGACTTCTTCTCGTAATTTTGATGGTATGGTATCCTTCGTGGTTTCTAATGATAGTTCTTCTCTGTCATCATTAAATAGCATATGGATGTTATTGGTCCAGCGACACAATCTTTTCTTTATATCAGTAATAATATCTCCTTTATCATTTTTTAGCATATTCGTTCTTGTGCTTTTTCTAGAACCTATCATTTCTTTTATTTTTTATGTATTAATTAAAGCTGTCATACTTTTTATTCATATCTCCTATGTCCTTGTATCTGTCGAAGAGCCACCTCTCTTTTGACTATCGAATTTTCTTTCTGATGTTTTTCTGAATTTCTTTGAATTTTGTATTTATTCAACTCTTTTGCTTTATATTTTCTTCGTTCTTCCATAAGTTCAAGAATTTCCACTGTCATTCAAGGTTTTGTTTTTTCTCCAAGTGGTCTAAGAGTTTCTTTTCTATATATAAATATATATATATATATATATATATATATATATATATATATATATATATATATATATATATATATATATATATATATATATATATATATATATATATATATATATATATAATGTTGGTTTACAACGTTCTTCGACGTCTTCCGATTTCCAATCTCCATCTCATTCTGTCGTTCCATAGATCTCCAGTTCTCTTTTCCTGATTTCTTTATCAACTCCTTCTCTACAACTTCTTCTAGGCCTTCCTGGTCTCCGCCTACCTCTTGGTTGCCAATCAAGAATTTGTCTTGGTATTCTATTCTCCGCCATTCTCCTTACGTGTCCGTACTATCTGAGTTGTGTCATTTTGATGTCATCAACAATATTACGTGTAACCCCCACGATTTCTCGGACTCTTTCGTTTGTTATTATGTCGCGTCTAGAGATTCCCGCGGAGCAGCGCCAGAAGTCCATTTCTGTTGCTCTAAGCATTTTCTCCGTTTTGTCTTTTAGGGGCCACACTTCGCATCCATGTGTTGTGATACTTTTTATTATGGTGTTGTATATTCTTCTTTTATTTTCCTTAGATATGTTTTTATCCCACAGTATGCTGTTTAGTAAGGCTATGCCTTTCCTTCCCTATGTTTTTCGTTCCTTAATGGCTGCATTTAATTTTTCGCCCTGAGTGATCTTTACTCCCAGGTATTTGTTGTCGTCACATAGTTTGATCTCTTGATTTTCCTCTACGACATGGTTATGTTGATCTCCTCCGATACTCATGTACTCAGTTTTGTTCATATTCACTTTCAAACCCGACTCTGTAAACGCTTCTAATAGTTTTCACATCATGTAACTAAGGTCTTCAGAGTCCTGTGCGATGATGACCTGGTCATTCGCAAAGCACAGTGTGTACAAAGTTCATTAGTGGTATGCTCATATTCAAACATTTTTTCTTCCATTTGTTGAGTGCTGCTTCGAGGTATATTTTAAATAACGTTGGAGATATACAGCATCCTTGTCTTAGTCCTTTAGTCACTTTGACTCCTGGTGTTATCAGATTTCCTGTTTTAACTCTTGTTGTTTGTTGGTAGTACAACGTTTTTACCGCTTCAATTAATTCTATATTTATGTTTGTTTTCCTCAGTGCCTTCCATAATTTATCAAGCGGTACACTAGTCTAGGCTTTCCTAAGATCTACGAACGTTAGGTGGACATTTTGGCCACGAGCAACTTTCTTTTCAATTATCTGAGTAATAGAGAAGACATGGTTCATTGTAGATCGACCTGCATGAAAACCAGCCTGTTCTTCGGCTTCCATATTTTGGTATTCTTCTTCTATTTGATTTTTTATTATTTTCCCATATATTCTGCTAATACTACTAGTAACTGCAATTCCTCTATAGTTTTCAGGTTTCGATTTATCTCCCTTTTTATGGATGGTACTCATATGCGATTCTTTCCATTCCTCAGGTATTTCATGTTTATTTATGCATTCGTGGAAAAGTTGTAGACGTTGAATTAGTATTTTGGGTCCATGTTTGATCAGTTCTAAGGCTACATTTCCTTCGCCAGGTAATTTGCCATTCTTTAGATGTCTGCATAGGGTTTCGACTATTCTCTGATTTATTCTGATTGGCGATCCTATCAGCCTTGAAGGGCTTTCTTGCCTCTGTTAGTAAATTTTTAAAGTATTCTTCCCAAGTTTGTGGTGATATGAACTGGATAATATCTCTTTTTCTGTTGTTTCTTAAATTTTTAACAGTTCTGAACTTTGGCTTCCACCAATGTAGGTATTTAGCATGGTGCACTTTTTTTCCCAGGATTCATTTTTCTTTTGGCATATTTTTCTTCTGACCATCGCTTGCGTTCTTTTGTATTCGATTCTGTCTTCCACATTTCTTGTGTTTAGATATTTTTGAGTATCGTCTGCCCTACCTGTTGGTCCGCGGGTGGTATTTTATTTTCCACCTACCCGCCCGCTAATGCTGGTGAGGGCTTTCCCCTATCCACCACCTGCGGACGCGTTCTCTAGGAGTTACAGGCTCTCCCGAGAGACAGTTTTTTTTTTCAACTGGCATGAGACCATGAGAGCATGTTGAATTTTTCCCCATTTTTGGTCAACAGCTAGTTTCTGCATTATCTTCTTTGACTTTTCTTGAGTTTTCGTTTATGTTAAATTTTGTTTCCGCATATGTGTTGTCTTGATTGAACCGCCTTGTGTGCTTTTTTTTTTCAACTGGTATGAGAGCATGTTGGATTTTTTCCCATTTTTGATCAACAGCTAGTTTCTGCATTATCTTCTTTGACTTTTTTTGAGTTTTCGTTTATTTTAAATTTTGTTTTCGCAGATGTGTTGTCTTGTTTGAGAAGCCTTGTATCCATGATTTTCTTGGAGCTGGGGTGCTTTAGATTCATTCTTACCGACAAAACAACCGGATTGTGATCAGAAAATCTGTCCGCTCCTGGATAAGTTTTGGATGATATTATAGAAGTTCTATATCTTAGGTTGACGATAATATAATCTAATCTAGATTAAATCTTTTATCTAATTAATTTATTAACCTTTTAATGACCGCTCGGGTGTAATTGTGTACACTATTCCATCCCTCCTTACTTCGTGTCATCTTCACGATCATCTCTCTCACAGTCAGAGGCTTTATACCTAGTTCTCTATAAATTCTGTTCCTTTCCACTGTCCATCTATTACACTCCAGCATTGTGTGAGTAACTGTGTCAGAGTATGCGCAGTATAGATATTTGTCTGTACCTATCTGTCTTTTTGAACATCTAAAGATACGCCCTAAGACATCCATGTCCTGTGAGCACTTGCGTTAGGAAGTAATTTAATCACCTGTGATCTCAGTCTATTCAGTTCCTCAGGCTAGGGATCAGCATATTAGTCCACTGGGCAACACGTTCCGTGTTTTTTCACTTTCCTTATAATCTGTTCATTGATCTTTCCCTTTCCCTTTTTTATGGCTAACACATGCAGAGGAGCACAACCCGTGGTAGTCCATAAGGCCGCCGCAGATACAGTCTTGTAGGGGCATGCTACTCGCAACAGACTAGTTCTGTCTACTCTGTAGCTTCTGGCTACTATCATAAGCTTCTTGTAGGTCAGTATCTCTACCGGTCCACTCCAGATTAGTGCCACGTAAAGGATAATTGACTGCACAATACCATGTAAGGTCCTCCTTCTTTCTGATTTTATGCAACTGTTCTAAATAGTTGTCTTGAGATTTAACCATATCATTTTCTTAGGGTTTTATCAAAGATATTCGTCTATTTTCCTCACTATTTCTATTTTTTATTGGATTATGAGTCTCAAGATAACTTAATTGTAGTCCTCCTTTTCTAGATTTTTGTGTCATATTTTCCAGTTAAATATCTTAACTGTGTAATATATAAATTTTAAATTAAATGATTAAAATGAAATAGTTCTTCGCTTATGGCGTTATTATTAAGGGATACCAATTGCAAGTCAATCATGTCCACAACTAGAATATACAACAATAAGCAAACTACACGGCCAGAAAACTATTAAGTCTTAATAAGAGTTTTGGGTACTAATATAAAGAATCAAAAGACTGATATTTTTTTGTACACACTTATGACAAGTCGAAAGAAAATGCAAAAAAGTATTTTTGAAGTGTGTATATTTTAGGCAATTCCTAGCTGAGCGCTTTCGGCTTTACAAAGCCATCATCAGAGCTATGGTCAATTTTTTTAAATACCACTACAAAGGAGAGATCTCATTTCCTTAAATTTTAAAATTATGATTTTTTTAGGTGTTGAAATTCTTAAAACATATAAAAAACATATAAAAAGCCGACACTGGACTTCACAAACACGTTAAAAAATTGAAAAAATTTTTGTCATGGTACGGGTGTAAGAACCCGACCATTGATTGATGCGAGGACGTAGACAGAATAGCAATTCTGCTAGCAAGCGTTGTTATTGAGAGAACAGACAAAAAGTGACTTGAGGAAAATTTTTGTTTATCTCAGCTCCATACCCCCCCCCCCCATACGTTGGCAAGAAATCTACTTTTTACATCCTTTTTGGAGTCCCAAAATTGACATTCTCATCTAAATTTAGCTTGTTCGTATGATTTTTTTTAGAGCACAAATCTTTGACGAGTGAACTAAATAATTTAAAATTTTTTCTTTTTAATCTGGTTTGCTTAGATTAATACAAAGTATTTTAAGAAACAACTCTTTATTGTAAATCTTAAATATTAAAACAAATCACAGTAATATATGGCTTAAAAATAATCTTAAAAATCGTTTAACAATAAAATTCTATAAAAATAGACAGTTCTTAACCAATAAATACAAATACAGACTTAAGTACACATACAAGTATCGATCTGTAAATAAAATTTCATACGTTTATAAAAAATATATCTTTTATAGAATATCTTTTTAGTTTTGCTAGGAATCTTTTCTAAAGTCGATACAAATATTTATAATAATTTATATTTGTCTCATGCTTCAAAAAATTTCAGTATGTTACCCCAGTCAATGAAGAAAAAAATCTGAAAAAATCTTATACAGATATTTGAAGGGCCTAAAAGGTAAATAAGGGGTAGCTCATGACAAATTCGTAATAACGTACAGCTGATTTTGTTTTTTTCTTTGTGTGTTTAACAATCTTAAAAAGGAAAAAACATGTAATAACCACAAAAACATGTAATAAATAACCCATTAAAATTGTGGCAGTTCATGAACTAATAACTTACAGATTTCAAACAATACGACCAAATAGTTTATAAGTAATTCAATTTGTTTATCCTGGAGAGTGAATATTGAGTCAACTATGCCTACCCAAACAGTCACTCTAGAGGTATTTTATAAATCACAATCTATTCTTTGAGTATTCATTTATAAGGTTTATTAAAAAATTTTTAAAGTTTTATTAAATTTGTTACTAAAAAAAACAGTTTGGAAAAGGGCTAACTTATTACCTTCTAAACATTTATAATAACTTTGATATTTTTTTATATTACACGATTGTAAGTAGGCTCAATGAACAGCTGGTGTAAAAGCACACTTTCCAAAAAAAAGCGGAACCAAGTTATTGTATCATGAGAGCTACCTAGACTTCAATACTTCCAAGCAGTGTCTAGGTGAATGTATGTATACATTCACCTAGTCATGCGCGTGTTACTATGCCATCGAGCAAAAAGACAAAAGAGGGAATCTAATCCTTATGAAAAGGAGACCAAAAAAGTGACCTCTGATGGCGGACATATCCGGAAATGCGAATGCGCCAAATTTAAATTTTCCGACACTTATCAACAGTAGCTATATAATATTTTTCAGAATGTGTCTTAGACGAGAAAGCTTTAATTAATTATTAACGACAATAGTCTAAAATGCGACAAAATTGTTAAAAAACTTCAATATAAATAAAATTTCATGTGACATTTGGGACAAACAATAACATAACCCAACTAAATTTGATGTCAAACAGGGAGAGAGACTCTCTTTTCTTGTTTAATGTGGCCTCTAAAGATTGCACTTCCTGTCTAACAATATGTTTGCCCATACTACCTTTACATTCCCTCTTTTGTCTTTTTGCTCGATGTACTATGCACTTGTTGTGCATAGTAACACGCGCTTAGTTGCCAAGCATTTCCAAAAGTCTTTTAGTGGTGGACAACTGTCTCCAACGCCGCTATCCGTGTTCTTAAGTTTGTCAAAGTAAGTTTTCGATTTTGGTCTACTAACTATACTAACTTTTTAACTAGTGTTCTGGAATTTTTTTTTCGATGAAATAGTGATAAAAACAATAGTTCATTGCGCTAATATTTGTATAGATATAATCCGTAACATTTTACAACGAGATCGAAATGCATAACATGCAGACTGTACGGAAATTTGAACTTTTATTGGCTTATTGCTCCTCATAAGTTCTTTGCGATGGCCCAGGAAAAACTTACAGCTTTTGGGATCAAAGGGAAATGGTCTGGAATCTTGCACTTGTTTACCTTATATATTTGTTTAAAAAAGACAATCAAAAGACTTCATTTACATTTAGCCGATAAAGCAATTTAGCGATTGTTAACAATTAGATATTCTATGCCTTTAACAAAAAATACCAGCGAAGAAAGGATACAGTTATTAAAAACATTATTATAAGTGTATTCGGTACATTTTGATTTTACGTTAAATATGTTTGTATCTAATGTATCTATATAAGAATAACCATGTAAAATATTAAAACCAGATACTTACGAAATATAAGTATTTGCATATATTCATAGTATTGCTAAAATTAGATAGATAGATAAAATTGCTAAAATAACTACAAAATAAATATTTTAAATTATTTAGTAGTTTTGTAGATATTTAATATATATCTTCTAAAACCTATCAGTACCAAAACAAATGGTTAAACAAGCATTACATGCGCTACAAATAGTTAACATTGCAAGACTATTTAAAAAAAAAAATAAACAACGCAATACTTAGCGTATGACGCATTTCATAATTAATCAGCTACGTTGTTATGTAGCATTTTCGAAAGCATGAAATAAATAACATTTATGTATTATACACATGTCCCATTTTTCAAACTGAAATCATGGGAGAAATTTTTAAATTTTCTGCAAGCCTCTTATTTGTATCATGTTGATTTTGAACGTAGGATAAACCTCCGTCTTTATGAACTTTTTCCATATGATGCCTCTCAACATCGCCATGAGCTAACACAGGTAGATTTGGATCAGCCTAAAAAAGAGAAAATAAATCAAATATAATTAGGGAAAAGTTTAGTTAGTTTTATTCTACATAAACGTTCTTTAAAAAGAACACTGCAAAATCTGGAACTTATTTTATGTTGATTGACAGATGACAAGAATCACTATATCCAAAAATGCTTGCTAAGGAGGCTAGAGCTCGTTCAAAGTGCACCCTTGTTGCAGTGTGTGCATGTTAAGGTATGTCTATGACGCAACATTGCATTATGCCGAATGCATTATGCATTATGCATTATATTATAGTTGCAGTCTCGGAGAAAAAGGGAAAGATTTATGGCAACATGTAACACCAGACATTGATGGACGACAAAAAACTTGTTGAACTTGGGTGAAAAACCAATGGTACTCTCATCGAAATCCATCGCACTATAGAGGCGAGTCTTCTAATGGTGACGTCTAAACTATATTAAATAAAAATACGCAAAGAAAATGATAGAGTTATATATCTTATCTACAAAGCAAATAAACTAGTTCGATTAAAGGCTATTCATGTATAAGCGCCTGATGGGAAGAACATCTAATGATCTGCTGCGGAACCAAGAGTTTCAAAGAGAACTAAGGAAGCAAATCTAGTTTTTCTTCCCAAACCTGACAAACCCCCCGATTCAGCATCCTCCTTCAGGCCAATATGGCGTCTAGACTGCCTTGGCGAATTTTACGAAAAATCTTATCAAGAGGCTGGAGGATGTATTAGCAAGTAAGAGAGCTCTATCCATTTAATAGTTCGAATTTAGAAAAAGACCATTAGCAATCGATGATACGATCTAGAGCAGAGGCACGATAAAAGCAAGTAGAAAAATATGGGTACTCCTGGTTCTCTTGGACATTAAAAATGCGTTTAATTCGGCAAAATGAGAATGACTGGCAAAGTACTTCAAGGGTTGGTCTAAATAGAATACAAAGAGTAAGGCCAAAAGCATACGCAAGGGACCTAGACCTACTAATCAAAAACGATATGAATTGGGAAATTATAACTAAGGTAAATATAGCAAAGGAAAAAATTGCGAACTGGATAGAGGAAAACAATTTTAAATTAGCAATAGAAAAGATTAAAATAATTATTTTAAGGGAGCCGTAAAACCATAAAGACGTAAACTTTCGGTTCGGAGGCTTCGATTTAAGACTCCAGAAAAAGACAAAATGTCGAGGAATAATATTCGACGACAAGATGACACTCAGTGAGTATATACAAGATGCATGTCGGAAGGCAGAAGAGAGAACCTTGGCCCTGCAGAATATCATACCGAACGTAGGAAATAAGGCAAACTATACGGATATGCTTATTAAATCAGAAAGAAAACCGTTTATCAGAGTATGCAGTGCATACCTACAAAATCGCATCGACTAAAACTCTACGGGTAGTGGCCAGATTTGTACTGGTGCACATTCTGGCCAGTGAGAGGCCAGAATGTATCGAATGCATCGAAGGGGCAACAGACCTTTAGGTTCAGGCCCAGAAAAAAAGAAGTATGAAGATGTGGCAGGTGCTCAAAGAAAATAAAAAAGGCCGCCTGGAACTACTACTTTCCGCAATTCATGATGGTGCACAAATCTTTTCATATATGTATGAAAAAATCCGAGGATAGAGTAGTGAATAACGCGTGCCTCGTAATATTCGTGTGCCTTGTATATTATGCAGGGTCAGCGTCGCTACAGCTGCGAAAACCCCATGATTTAATACAAAAGGCAATATAACACAAAAAAATGTTTGACTTAACCATTGCTTTTGTCACTGAAACCATAAAACCTAAAGAAGAAAAAGAGAGGAAACTGCAGCAGAGATAATTTGTTTATACTTTTGCTCCCATACAATACAACTCCCATCTCGGCCGGAGCAAATATTTTATACCTAATTTTAGACCTTAGGCATAATTTTAATTTTCAATATATATATATATATATATATATATATATATATATATATATATATATACCCAATCTTAACTTTAACTTTTAACCTTTTAAATTTTTTTTAACTTTTAGCGTTTAACATAATTCTGTAGCATTTTGATTTCCCTTTGTATGTATTAAAACACCAAAAAATACTCTCAATCTTTTTGCGTTGATGAGATTGATAATATAAATATTTAAAGTTTATTTATATAACACAGATTGGTATTTCGCGTTTGATCTTGATGCCGCTTGGAGATTTGCGCATCAAATAAACAGGAATATTTTCGTTTATGCTTTGTTTATATCGGGTAGGGCGAATGATGTCACTCGACGAGGGACCGCGGAAGCAGCCAGTTATTGTTTGAGTCCGGATTTTTCTGTAAACCCGTTATTGCTTTTTTGTTGTTCGTCATTCGTTTTTGTCATGGAGAGAATAATGGGCCCACCACATGGAGGTGCAGAATGAAAGAAGTTATTTTTACTAGTTTGTCTGGTAAATCTCTGTTAGTTTACGATAAGTGGAATGACGAAGCGGTCCCTTCTCCTACACATCCATTTGCACGCAAATCGTTTGACATTACAAACCATGTCCGGGTGCAAGCGTAGTCGAGATGGAGAAAGTGGCAGATGGGAGTAACAAGCACAGCGGACGGGACACACGCAATGCTCGCTAAGAGTGGTCTCGGTACGTCAGTTGGAGAAAGAGAAGGTAAGTTTAGTTGGTAGGCAGCCGGTTACAGTTAGCCGCAACCGGCTGAATCCAACACACCTAAGACACCTTCCCAGAGGTCATTGGAACACTTAAAACTATAGAACAAAACAAACACCTAAAAGTCACAAAACCAGAGTTGAAGACAGGAATGAAGAATATTTATAAGTTAAAAATAAACAAGGACATGCCATAAACAACAAGAGTAAAAATGATCGAAGAGCATAACTTAATATATGGTTACGATGATCATATTCCAGAGATAGCAATCAAAGCAGTGGCGGCTCGTGACATCTGCTATAGGGTGTGCTGCATGAACCACGGTCAATATAAAATAATAGAAATAGAATACCATACGAAAACAAAAACAATAAAATTAGCTTTAATACTAATTAATAGTAACTAATAACGACATGCTATAAAAATCTGATTAACTTACATTTATTGCATTTTTCTAAATTGGAAATTAATACGCCGGTCCTTTTTTGTCGCAAACTTTTCGATTACTTTATCGTTAAAGTTCGGTATTGAAGCGATGAACTTTTTTTCTATCGAGAGTGTGGAAAGGGCTGTTAATCTGTCTTCGCACATTGAATTTCTTAAAAATGTTTTGATCCGTTTTAAAGTTGAAAAACTACGTTCAGCTTCTGCTGTGGTCATTGGCGTAGTCACCAGAATTTGTATCAACTTTTTGGTTTCTGTTAATGTGTCCTCTAAATTATTAGAAATTATAAATTTTAGTAAAGGCACTGCACCTTTTAATGTTCTACACTCGATATTGGAATACAAAACTGACAGTTCTGTTCGCAAACGGTTTTTATCAAAGAAGTTATAAGCTGTACAAGTTAAATCCAATTCATTTTCAGGAAACTTATTATTATATTTTTCGAAATGTTCTGAAGATAAAAGTGTTGCGGCAACTAGATGATTTGTATATGCAAACCGTTCTTTTGCATTGTTTATAATAACATCACAAACTTCTAGACAGGCAATACGGTGATCCTGTTGGCTGTTATTTGGGCGTTTCCTTTTTTGGACACTAGGCGCCGCATTTAAATTTGAAGCTTGATGTATGATAGGGTCTATTTTATTTCGGACATTGTTAATACTTTGCTCAAAAACATGTATAGCTTTCTGTGCTTCGGTTGGGTCCATGTTCTTTTTTTGAAGATTATTGTACAAAACGTCAACATGTGGCATAATATAATGAAAAACAGTCAGCCAGAAAGTAAAATTTTGATCTTCCAGAATACGTCTAAGTCCTCTTGCTTCCTTGGAAGTAATAGCATTTGACTCTTCTTCTAGTTGCTCCATACACTCAATAATAAAGTCTCTATATTCGTAAACGACATTTACTGTACGAATATTGAAATTCCAGCGTGTAGGGATTGAACGAGGAATATTTTTTCCAACTATTTGATTTAAGACAGCTATTCTTTGAGGTGAATGACTAAAAAATCCAGGTATATCATGTAAATCTCCAAAAAATACGCGTACTTGGGAATTAATAGAACATGCTCTTGACATTATTAGATTCAATTGATGGGCGTAACAGTGCACAAAATGAGCAGTTTCATATTTTCTCTTAATTATTGTTTGCACTCCGCCATGTATCCCACTCATAACAGCTGCTCCGTCATAACTTTGTGCAATGAGCTTATTTTTGTTATTCTTTAATATTGGGTCTAAAACATTCAAAATTGTGTTAGCTAAGGTTTCAGCATCATGTTTTTCTGGAAGCAAAAAAGTCCAAAACCTTTCAACTGGAGCACCGTTTTTTACATAACGAAAAACAATGACCATTTGAAATTTCATAGAAACATCCGTTGTCTCATCAGCTATCACTGCTAAAAATGGGGCTTCATTGATTTCGTTTAAAATCTCCTCAGCGTATACTTCTAGCATGCAATCCAAAATATCATTTTGTATTGTTTTTGAGGTACCTTTGAAAATTGTCGCATTTGTAAGGTGTTCACTAAGTGTTTTATCAAGTTCAGCAGAAAAATTCACTAAACCACGAAAAATTCCAGGGTTATCTGATGTTTCAGATTCATCGTGTCCTCGTAAGGCGAGCTCAAAAGCCCCACAGAATTTTATACAGTCAATTATTTTTGACAAAACATACCTGTTTTTCGTCACCTCTTCATTGTGTTTTTGTATATTTATCCAATAAGCAGAGTCAAGTTGGGCCTGTATATTAAGTTTCCCAAATAATGCAAATCGCATTTCATTGTTCATATGAGTTTGCGTGTTTTCATGCTTCTTTATTTTTTCACTTAAATGCACTAGATCCCGCACTCCTGTCTCGCGCCACAATTTTTCCTCTTTATCTGCGCCGAATAATGCACACGGAAAACAGAAAAAAGCATTTTTTTCGGAACATCCACAAATCCACTGATTTCGTAGATACATGTCTTTATTAAATTTACGCGTATATGTTTTTCCACGGCTTTTACCGGACACTTCAATATTAAGATCAGGCATAGGACGGCCACGTTCTTTTATAATCAACTGTTGTTGATAGTGAAGTTTTTGAAATTTATTTACACCTAATTTAAATTGAAACTCCATTGTTTTAAACACGCTCGAACAAAACAAATTAAACAAAATTGTAACCTAAGAATTTCTAAACACGGCACAGATGCAACGGTCACGAATAACTGTCGTGAATTGCAGCTCGCAAACACATTTCCGAGGCCGTTAATCAGCCGATTGCCGAAGCACATCGGCTAAGATCGCCGTTTGCCTAATAAATGCATTTTACCGCTGCCAGTGTTTCGGTTGTTATCGACGCGGCTTCACTGGAGCAGCAAATACGTAAAAAGATTGCTTCACTGGAGCACCAAATACGTAAAAAAATTATACGGTTTCACTAGAGGAGTAAATACGTAAAAAAAATAATATTAATCATCGTTGTTGGTGAATTATTATTAACAGTTTATGTTTAATATGATAATATGGCAGATTTGAAATAAAACTATATTAATTATTCTTTAATAATTAAGATTTGCTATGGTTGTTTGGTAGTTCTGCAGCTCAGCAGCACATAAAGAAAAGCCGCCACTGAATCAAAGTAATCAAGGGGATGAAGAGTCAGTCAATGTTTAATTGACATAGATTTCAGAAAAATAATATCAAACTACTATAGATAACCGCAACAAATTTAATTGTTTTGGTTTTTTAGACCCAAACTAAATTATATTTACGTATGTAATGACAACTTACAGGTTCCATATTTCTTAAGGAATTCATTAAGTCGCTCATTCTGTTTTCTACTCCGGGTGCAAATACTTTGGGATTTATTGCCATAAAAGCATGTCCTAGGTTCGCCTCCTTGCCGAAGTCAGTCCAGTTTCGTATATTTGGGCCATATGACGATCCTGAAAATTAAAATATATTATAAAAAAATATATTCTATTCAGTAAAAAATCAGTTTTTAAAATATGTTTTATTTAATGATTTACTGAAATTCTCCCTACAATATGTTCTGAAACATTCTGTAACTATATTCTAATAATCGTTGTAGCGTTTTCTTTTCACTATAAGATCTTTTGAGGAACTCGTTGTATTCTATACCCACTAAAGTAGCATCTGTCGCAAAATGGTCTACTTTTTTATTGCCTTGAATAATAGAGTGACCTTTCATAGGTCATAAGAAGACAGTTTCATAGTTCATTTCACGCAGATAGACCGAAGATTACAAGCTATTATCAATGCTGATGGAGATATAACAAAATATCAATTTTAATTTTACATATCTAAATTTAATATAGTTTTGGTCTTCCAGACCCTCACTTTCTTTCAAAAGCTTCTTGTTCCCTCCATTTTTTATTAATAGAAAAACTGAGAACTGAGAAAAACTTATGTTAAAATGTTTGCTGCCTCTGATAGTGTATAAAATGCAAGAATTCAAAATAATATCAAAATTTAGACCTTAATAATTATTACAATTTATAAATTAACATATGAAGGGTACAGGGGAAAAACCAACATAGTCCAAAAATAAAAAAAAACGGTTTACCTTTCCATACGTTCTGTTTGCCGTGTATTTTATCTTGTCAAATCGTCAAGGGGAATAACAAACTTAGTCCTAAGATATGCAAAGTTAATATCTCTTGCAGGAGAAAAACTAACATTGTTCTGAAGCTATTTTCTTGTGGCATTGTATATTAATTACTATTTATAACTGGGAATAAACCACAATTAAAGATAAAAATACGTTTATTATAAATAAACGTATTTTTATCTTTAATTGTGGTTTATTCCCAGTTATAAATAGTAATTAGAAAAACTAACATAGTGAACATGAAACATGGGAATAATTTATCCACAGTTCATAACATTCGTTATTATTCTCATGCAAGTCATCCCGGCTGTGTTTATTACGTGTTGTTTCGACACGTTTATTCAAGCTTGTTCGTTGAGCTTTTACGAAGTATTGAGTAATATTATATTTTATTTAAGTATGTAAAATTTTAAGAGTTTTTATGGAAAGTTTTAGTGTTTAAAATGTTTGACAGTGACGAAAATAGATGTGCTAATCAAGAAAAATCAACGAAAAAGCGTAAAACACATGGCTGACTTAGAGACGTTGCTAAGAAGCTATGAGCCTCGACCTTTGAAACCTGAGCAGACTATCAGTCCTAGAGGTATAAGTGTTTTCAGAATATTTCTATTGCCGAACAAAGTGATTTAATAAGACAGTCTAATAGCATTTGCCATGACAATGGTCATGATGCAGAAAATAGTTACAAAAAACATGGGATTAACCCCCAAAAGTGCAAAGGCTGAAACCCCAGATGGTAGCAGAGAGGTTATAGAAGCCACGCGAATCAAGCCACATCCGTTTGTTGAAATATCATGTAAACAAAATATGTTTAAAGAGTGGGGTACATTTTTGTTCTCCAAGTTCTACAAAAAGAAATTTTTTTTTCCTATTTGGCAACTCAAACAGTTGTTTTTTTTTTGTTTTTTCAAACATAACGCAAAACCGTGGATCACAGGGAAACATACAACGGATCTTTCTCGTCGTCCCTAGTAAAAAATCAACGGAAGAACCAGAAGGGAAAATCAAAGGTACCCGATCTTCACCAACCCAATTAACTCTATAAAACGCTTATACCTTTGCCAAAAAAAGTGTGCTGATCTAAAAGTTCTAATGAAATTCTGAGAAAAAGAGGAATCTAAACAGTACTACAACCAACTTCTTTCTGCCAATCAGTCTGAGTTACCATCTGAGCCTGATGAAGTTCCTGACGACCAAAGCCATTTTTAAAAATCAGATTAACTTTAGTCAGTAGTTTGTACCTTGGTTTATTGTTTTAATCTGATGTAGTAATTACCTACCAAATAAAAAATAATAAAAATAAAAGTTTTTTGATATGTTCAGAGGAAGAGCTAACTCAGTTCACATTTTGTTTAATTAAAAAAATAATTAGACGTTTCCAGACTTTTGATTCACTCTGTATATTTAATAGCGAAAAGGATGCAGTGTTTATATTACCCGATATACATATTATTTATTGTATTAAATAAGCGTATCTGATAATGTAGTACAATAAATTCATACCTGATAAAATTCCACATAATATCTCTACGAACATTCCCAACCCGTATCCTTTATATCCAGAATTTAATTCTTCTCCTCCGAGAGGAAGCAATCTCGTAGCCTTATAAGCGACACTAGAATCAGTCTCAACTTTGCCTTCTTTGTTTAAAGCCCATCCTTGTGGAATTGGCTCTCCCTTTCTTCGTTGAATTTCAATCTGAAATTTTATGACATAATTAAATTAATACATATAAAATTTAAAATTGTTAAAAATTTTACCGAAAGAGATCAAAATTGTATAAAATATAATTCTTTCTATTTTAGTTCAGGTACACTCATTAAATGAGATAATTCAATAATTATGCTTTTTACCCCCTTAACTCGAAAAATACACAAAACTGCACGAAAAAAATTGCAAAAAAGAAATTTTTGTAAAGAGATTTTTGTAGAAGAGTTAAAAATGGTGGAAATATTAAGCAAAAACGGTTCTCCTTAACAGAAGTGCCACCATATTAAAAATTTTAATGTTTACATTCGCCGATCACTTTTTTTAAAAGTATTTCTATTACTTTCTTTAACTTTTAACTAAAAATATATTACTCTAATACTAAAATTTCATTTTTAAAAATGTGAATCCACGTTGGAGTTTCGCAGCCCCCAACAAGATTTTTATCTAAAACTGTCTATGCGTGTCCAACGTGGCATCACGCCTTGATTTGTCTATTTCTGTTGATAACGTGTCGGTAAATCTAACTTATACAATGCAATCGTACGAGAAAGAGCAACAAAAACTTAAATATTGACAAGATATTCTGTCAGATTCAGTTAAGTTTGGCGACACGTATCTTGTAACGAATATTTTTGCCTACCATATTGGAATCATTATAGAGGGTTTAAAATTGTCGACAGAAATTACATGGCTAGAGATAGGGTAAACAAAACAAAACAAATTGGTTTAAACGCCGTTCTTCAAATACCTTAGCTGAGAGATAGCACGAAACAAAACAGTGAATGCTCTTATTTAAATCGACATATTACATTCGAATATAATTCACTTTTTTCACAAACAAAATTGCAGGTTGTTTTTGAAAATAACATATAACGTCTTTACGCGTCAAGATCTCAAACCCAACTTATTAACTGCACTTAAACTCCATACTGCTACTATACTGCACATTTTCCCATCACAAAAGACGAAAAACGAAAAAACTTTACGAATTAGATGAAAATTCGGTCTAACACCGTAACCAACTGCCTTTGACAGCGGCTCTACTGAGAGTAATGCCATTCTCTTCAAAAATTGCTCACCCAACTCGGTAAAAAGAAAACATAAACGAAAATATTCTGTTTATTTGACGCGCAATATATCCTTAAGCGGCATTTCAATCAAAAGAATACCGAATACGCATGTGTCTTATATAAACAAACTTTAAAATGTGTTTATTATAAATCTCGGCGACGCAAAAAGGATTAAAATATTATTTCGAAATTTTAACTTGTACGATAGGAAACATAAATACATTGAAAATATTCTTCGGTGTTTTAATACATACAAGATATGCTACAATCTTTTGGCCGAGTATCAACCAACTGATTCTAGTGACAGTGAAAATAAATCGAGTATTTCGAAACAGAAGAAAAAAAAAGTATGGACGGAAATAACAAACCGTTGGGACAAGATGTATCGGCGTCCACTAGTAGAGAACAATAATATACGGATTTCGGAAAACATGTTAATGCTGCTATAGAATCTGTCATTGCCCAATATTCTAAAGTCTCCGAAAAGGAAAATTTAGAAGCACCAATAGTATCCAATGGAATGAATGAATTATGAAAATGCTATTTCTGGGGCTGGTAAACAGCGAAAATTTACAGACATGAAAATTTAATTTACAAAATCATGAAAATTTCACAAGAAATCGCCCTTTTAATTTTACGAATCTTTTGTAGACGATGGTCTTATCCATGATGGTAAATATCTAATTTATTTTGTTCAAATGTTCTTGTTTTTATTTTTAGGTAGAAGAAACAAACCATTATGCTTTGCAGTGTCAGGAAAGTAATCAGAAAAAACCGCACGTATTACCGCATGGTACAACAGTGATGTCGCCGAAACAAAACAACTCCTGGGTATAGTTATATGAATGAGATTATGTGATTTTCCATCATTTTATCTGTACTGGTCAAAGAATGATCTTTATGTGAAAATATCAAAAAAGTACTTTGAAGTACTTCCAGTTATTGTGGAAAACGATGCATTTTAACGATAATACTCTCACAGCAGATGACCGTTTGCAAAAGATTGTTACCTTGAACTTTACTGCCTTTTCAAGGACGACTAAAATTCAAGCAGTATATTGCCAACAAGAGGCACAAATTTGGGATAAAATTATTCAAACTTTAGCTGTAGGGTAGTTATACCTACGATTTCAACGTATATTGGGAAAAAGAACATGGTGAAGGTAGCACCGTACCAATAAATGTAGTAATGAAACTTATGGATGGATTGCTTGACAAAGGACGACCATTGGCGATTGATAACTACTACAGTTCTATTCTGTTTCCTACACCGAAAAACTTGTAGCTGAACAGTAGCCTGTAGGCGAACATGCAGCTGAACAAAGTAATTCGGGCATCGTTGTTCAGAAGTGGAGGGACAAGCAAGATGTGCTGATGATTAGTACCAAATTCGCTGACGAAATGGTGACAATGCAGAAGGCACGCGGTGATGTGGTAAAGCCAAAGAATGTCATCGAATATAATAAATATAACAGCTTTATTGATATATCAGATCAAATGAAAAGCTATAATTCGTCATTATTTAAAGAAATAAAATGCTACATAAAATAATTATCGATGGAGCTCTTGACTGGCACAGCACTTGCAAATGCCTATATCGCACATCAAAGCATTGTCAATGAAATCATGACGATTACCAAATTCAAGAAAGAGGTAACTCGGCGCCTATTAGGAGATTTTATTGTCACACTAGTCTGAATAAAATATGAGGGTTTGTCTCATATTAATTTGATGTGATGTTCTATATTTCCTTCTAGGTTGCTGGTATGCCAAGAAATTGCGGGTAAGGTAACATGTGTGATATTATCAGGTTCTTCCTTGAGGTAATAACCCCTTTGCTCTTCTAATATTTCCTTGGAAAGGTATTTCTTCTTTGAGTTTAAATAAATGAAAACCCTTTAAATTGAATTTTCACTAGATTTTATTGAGATAAACTGAAAATGTTTAAGTTCGGAATAGTTTTACAAAAAAATGCAGGTTAGATAGTTCGATTCTTGATGTAAGTTTATTTGGTCACGTAAACAGATGAGAACTTGTCACTTAAACCTCACTTTTGCACTTAAAAGTCTTTTACGAAGTACTTTATACAGCTATTTACAAAACATTGATGAAAAACACGTTGAAACCATTACTTGTTATATAAGAAAAAATGTTTAAAAGATATACGACCACATGTTAGCCGTTTATGAACGTTTAATTCCACTCGTACGTAAAAAAAAAACAAAAACCAACAAAATACTACGAGTGGAGATGTGTACAGTGTTAAGATTGGAACGCTACTCTCAGCTCTCGGTGCGCCCACGCTGAAGGAGCCGACAACGAGTATCCGGCTAATAGCTAACGCACCCAAGAGCCGAAATGAGTATCCGGCTAATAGCTAACGCAACCCAAGTGACGTCAAGCTGAACCGGCATTTTTCGAATATACAGGTCCGGCATTGGAATTTTATAATGATAATGTTCTGGTTAAATGTTATGAAATTTAACCATATTGGGGGGCGGCGCAAGAGAGTGAATGATTATTAATAATAAATAGAAATAAGTTTTGATTAAAATTAACAAACTAAATAAGATTCGGAGTGTTTAAAAACAAACAGAAAATGAAAGATTTTCTCTGGGACTCGAAGGACCAGCACTTATGTGCAATTTGATAATTTGATAGGTGTGTAGCTACTATCAACTCAGAAATACTGACAGTCAGAAAACTAATGATTACTGATGTTACACTGAAAGTAGTGCAACATGAAGGTTTAAAACAAAAACAACAAATGATTCTACGCTTGTGTGATAATTACTAAACTAAGTAGTAATAAAAAGAATAGAATAAATAAAAAAAATAAAAAAAAAGGAAAGAAATTTTTTTTTTTTTTTGATACTTGATAAAAGAGCGAAGAATGAAATATTAAACTTATTAAATATATACAAATGATGAATAATAAGACCGGAATACCCACATCATGTTATTCGACACTGGGTAATGGTACTAACTTAACGATTGGACGGATATAAGTGCCATCTTGAGTTTTGATTTTGACTGCTCTGGACTTATTATCCTTTCCTGGTATTAGTTCTATTATTCTCGCCAATGGCCATTTCAAGGGTGGCGTATCATCTTCCCTTAAAAGGACTAAGTCGTCTACTTTCATTTCTAGTTGAGGTTCCATCCATTTGGGCCTATTTTGTAAACGGTTCAGATATTCTACTGACCACCTTTTCCAAAAGTGTTGTTGAATTTGAGTGCAGGTGTTCCAAAATTTTAATCTGTTTAGTGGAACCTCAGAAATATCCCGTTCTGGAAACGCGGTTAAGGGACAACCTATCAGCAAATGCCCTGGAGTTAGAGCTGAAAAATCGGACGGGTCATTAGATGATGGACAAAGTGGTCTACTGTTCATGATTGCTTCGATTTGGCAAAAGATAGTTGCAAGTTGTTCAAAAGTCAATGTGAGCCCTCCGATCATTCGTATGAGATGATATTTCGCACTTTTAATGGCGGATTCCCAAATTCCACCCCAATGGGGAGAATGAGGGGGAATGAATTTCCATGTGATTTTTGTTTCAAGTAAGTATGATTTGATAAAGTCAAGATTAGTTTGATTTTTTAAGAAAAGATATAAATCGTGCAATTGATTTTTTGATCCTTGAAAATTGGTGGCATTGTCACTATATATGATAGTGGGACAGCCCCTTCTGGAAATGAAACGTTTTAATGATGCTAAAAAGGCTTCGGTAGTTAAGTCTGAGACTAATTCTAGATGAACGGCTTTAGTCGCCATGCAGACAAATAAAGCTAAATAACATTTGGTGATGACGACTTTTCTAAGTTTTGAAGCTGATTTGATGGAAAACGGACCACCAAAATCGAGTTATACGTTTTGGAAGGCCCGAGATGGTGTGATTCTCTCTTTTGGTAAATCAG